TCTGTGTTAATTGTGCAGTTTGGACTAAGGCAGAACCAAGGCGTGAGCTCCGGGGCTGGGAACTGAGCGACCGAACCTGACCCGGTCACGGCAGCCTGGACACGGCGGACCTGTGATGGGTGATGTGACGTTATACTGTGCCTTACCGGGCAACCGGGGGGAAGCAGAGCATAACGTCACCGGTCGGTTTCGGTCGCTAGGTCCCCGGCCGCCGGGGTTTCCGGTCCGGTAGCTTCACTTCCAGACCTTCTATTTCACTGCTTGCTAAAAGGGCTGTGGGGAGATCTTTAAGCCACATGGTAAGAAAAGGACTCCTACTGCACCTTTAAACAAACCAAAAACAAAGAATCTTATGGCCTGTCAACTGAGTTGTAGAATCCTCTCCCTATAAAGATTGAATTCTCTGTAAATTAATGCAGATCATTCTTTAATAAGATCCTGGTCAAACGAACATGCAATGTTTGTTTTTAAAAGCTAATCTGTCTAACAAACCTAGGGAATCACTTTTTTTCACAAAAATCTGACTAAATCAGGATATAAAACAATCTTTTTGGCTGTAAGGAGAGCGGAGACAGAGACACACTGAGTTTACTGAAGAGAACCTGCTGCCGGCCAGGTTAGCTCTGGGAGGATGTTACTATGGCAACAGAAACAGAGGATGAGGAAACTCTCCTTGTGAAACAGAAAACTCAAGCGTTTCCCTGATTTCAGGTTTAGAAGATTTAGTTTTCTCTACAGATATGTATTTGTTCTGCGCCCCGTGGAGAGTTATACTGTTTTAGCCAGTGGTGGACAAAGTACTCAGCAGTAGTACTTGGGCAAAAGTATTGATATTCATAGTCACATTGTACTCAACTACAAGTAAAAGTTACTTAGTCAAACATTTATTCAAATAAAGAACTCAAAAGTACAAGTAAAATGGTACGGTTGGCCTGGTGCTCAGAGCAGTGCGCTTGTGCTCCGAGAAAGTAGCAAGTACCCGGTTCGATCCCCAAAGCCTGCACCCGGGGTCCCTGAGCAAGACCCTTAACCCCACACTGGGAGCCGCACAATGGCAGCCCACTGCTCCCCAAGGGGATGGGTTAAATCCAAGATGATCTCCTTGATCTTCTCCACCTTCAGGATCGGGCTGTTATCTCTGCTCCACCAGCTGCTCCACCTCCTCTCTGTAGTCCAGGTCGTTGTCGTCTCTGATGAGGCCCACCACCGTGGTGTCGTCTGCAAACTTCACCATGTGATTGGGGGTTAAACAATGGGACGCAGTCGTGTGTCATCAGGGTGAACAGCAGGGTGCTCAGGACGCAGCCCTGAGGGGAGGGGCTTAGACTGATGACATCAGAGGCGCTCTGTCCGACCCGGACTGACTGAGGTCTGTTGGTGAGGAAGTCTAGCAGCCAATAGCAGAGGGGTGTATTGAAGCCCAGCTGTTCCAGTTTGCCCATCAGATGCTGTGGGATGATGGTGCTGAAAGCTGAACTGAAGTCCAGGAACAGCATCCGCACGTGAATGTTCTTCTCCTCCAGGTGTGCCAGGCTCAGATGGAGAACAGCAGAGATGGCGTCCTAAGTGGAGCGGTTCCGTTGGTAGGCGAACTGGAACGGGTGGAATGTTGGCGGCAGACTGGAGACGATGTGTTCTTTAACCAGCCTTTGGAAGCACTTCATCATGATGGGAGTCAGAGCGACAGGCCGCTAATCATTGAGTGAGGTGACCTGAGGCTTCTTTGGGACTGGAATAATGGAGGCAGACTGGAAGCATGCTAGCACTATGGATTGGTCCAGCCAGGTGTTAAAGATGTCTGTGAGGACACCAGCCAGCTGATCTGCACACTCCTTATACACCTGCCCAGGTATGTTATCAGGCCCTGGGGCCTTCCTTGGATTGACTCTCCTCAGAGTTTCCTCACTTCAGCTACGTCCAGGTTTAGTGCCTCCTCCCACTGGTGTGGAACAGCTTTCACTGCTTGAGGCTGTTTAGTGACTCAAACCTTCCAAAGAAGTTGTTCAGTTCATTTAGGAAGTCAGTGTTTGCTGCATCTACTGGGGGGGAGGGTGTGTTGTAGTCTGTGAACATCTGAATGCCTTTCCACATCCTCCTGGTGTTGCTGTCATCGTGGAAAAGATCCTGGATCTTCTGGTTGTGGTTCTGCTTCGCTGATCTGATGGAAAGGCTTAAGTTGGCACACGTTCTCAGTGCCTCTTTATCACCAGCCTTGAAAGCGGAGTTCGGTGCTTCTAGCGATTTCCAAACCTCTCCATTTATCCAGGGTGGTTGGTTGGCTCAGATGGTGATGTTATTTTTGATGCTGATGTCCTCAATGTATTTGTTGATGTAGGCTGACACAGTCATGGCATACTCATCTATATTTAATAAGTTGTCATATGTTGCTGCAACCTTGAAGATGTTCCAGTCAGAGCATTTAAAACAGTCTTGGAGTGTCTCCATGGCGCCCTCAAACCACACTCTGACCTCTTTAACTGTTTAGCCCTGATCAGCTGGGGCTTATATGCAGGGATAAACATGGCCGAGAGATGATCTGATGACCTGAGGTGGGGCCAGGGGGGTCTGCTCTGAATGCATCTTTGATGTCAGAGTAAACCAGGTCTAAAGTGTTTTCACCCTGAGTTGCTGGTTGTTGGTAAAAATGAGGGAGAACAGTCTTCAAGTTAGCCTGGTTAAAATCCCCAGCAATGATGAAAACACCCTCTGTGTGCGGATTGGAGCTCAGAGAGCTCTGGTGTAGAGTCTTCATGGCCTCTTTAGTGTTAGTGCTGGGGGGCACATAAAAAGCAGTGATGCTAACCACACTGAACTCTCTGGGCAGATAGAATGGCCTGCAGATAACAGTCAGAAACTCAATGTCTGGAGAGCAGAAGCTGGAGACTGATCTAGCATTTATACACCAGCTGTTGTTGATGTAAACACAGAGCCCACCACCCCGAATCTTACCGCTTAGCTCTTTATTCCTATCAGCGCAGTATAGCGTTAGCCCCTCAAGGCTAATAGCATTGCTGGATGCAGCCATGACTCCATCAGAATGATGGCGCAGCAGTTACTAATCTCCTTCTTTGATGACAGTTCCTGTCGGAGATTATCCATTTTTTTTATCCAACTAGCAGATGTTGGAGAGCAGGATTGATGGAAGTGGAGGTCTGTGGGGATTTCTCTTTAGCTTCACAGTTAGCCCCCCTCTGCATCCTTGCTTTCTCCGTCTCGCACATCTTTTCCTCCGGGAGTTATGTTCCGCTGTTGTGTTGTTGAGATCCGTCCGTAGCACTCCACAGCTTTTTAAACGGTCAAAAATGTCGGGATATGAAACATTTTGAGAGCATAGTTTCAACAGGCGTTGTCGAACATAGATGTGGGTTTGAAGTCTTATTTGTGTCGTTTTAAGCGGCATATTCAGTGAAATTTTAAAGAGGAGCTGCTCTTGGTCTCTGTCTTGGAGCGCCTCCATGGTAACATTATATCAATATATACATAAGAGTAGTCACTTTTATAAGCTCTGTGCTTTATGCACCATTAGTCTGTTATGAACTGCTCAGAACACAGTTGATGATCTACAGTATAAATGTTAACAAAGATTCTGTTATGAGTGGCTCAGGTTATCCTGAGCTATCTCTATAGTTCTGCTGCTATAGGCTTAGACTGCTGGAGGACATAGGGACCCCTTTTTCATCATTCTGCTTCATTCTATCTCTATTCTCCCACCCTGCAGAATCTGTTAGTTCAATCTCTAACGTTCTGCTCTCTCTGCTTTTTCTCATAGTAGCTTCATCTGGTCTGTTCCTGTTTGGCTGTGACTCCATCCTGGAGAGAAATATCAGCTGTGCTGCTGCCATCAACACCTTTGTTTTTTAGATATTGAAGCTTGGCCTGTTTTTCAGTGTAGTCCTGTTTCTCTGATTGTGACTAACTGGATGAGTCGATGCAATCTGACTGGATGATCTGGTGAATTGTAAAGTGACCTGAGATGACATGTGTTGTGAATTTTTGCCATAGAAATAAACTGAATAGAATTGGATTTCAGTACCCATAAGGCAGTGCTAGCATAGTTGGTTTTAGAGGTGCTCAACCTCAGAGTCTAGCACCCATAATGGCTGAAATAGAGACCGAAGGGATTGCTGCCTCACATGCTTTTTCCCAGCTGTTGTTGTTTATCATCAAGCTCTCAACTGCACAGATTTCATCGGCTCAGTGTGTTTTTATACATCAGTGCCTTTATATGCCTGCTCGTTTAAGGTTCAGTAAATCCATGCTGTTATACATAAAGGTCTTTTTAATTTCATCCACCAATGGGCTGCCTTTTTATCCTTAACTTCACAATATTTTACCAAACTTCACTTTAGGTCATTTTCAATGACTGCATAGCCTTTTCTTCCCTCAGAGGTGCACTTGTTATCCAGTCAGTTTTACCTATTTGATTTTTCTCCCCACTGAGGCACAATGAAGGGCAGATCTATTCTATTCTATTCTGTATTATTCTATTCTATTTTATACATGTTTTTTTCACCTGAAAAGAAGCTGAGCTTCTTTAACATCTCAGTAAAGGTGTCTAATGAGTTAACTTTGTCTATTTAAATGTGTTGACATCTATCTATACTGTAATTAGACAAGGAGCATCTAATTACAGTATATAATAGGAAACAATCTCTAAGTATTGTCAAGGTTTTTGTCATGAATCCTAATAATCATGAATATTCAGGGAAAAGAGAAACTCCAATAGCTAAATCTTGCAGAATAAATGAAAGTTTGTGTTTTTAATCAGGTGTTCCTCCTGCGGCTGTATATTTGTTCATGACTCTAATCGTCCTTTTTCATTAACTTAAAGTTTAATGATTTTTACACCCAAAGCATTATAACTAGGATTCATATCACTGAAGGTCTGGACTGATAAACTGATTTCCTGAGCAAAGACATCTGTTTGATAAAGCAGTAACAAATGGAGAAGTACAGGAAGTGTGAATCCAGTCATCAGATGTGTATCAGAGTAAACTCACAGATCCGTAGAGCTTTCCACGCCGGTTCATGGCCACAAAGAGCCCACTGTGGACTCCCAGCAGAGTGACCACGCCTCTCTCCACGGGAGAGATCTGCAGGAGACCTTCAGAAAACACAAACACTCTTATGGCCACGAAACCTTTCCGGTTCTATGTGTCACAGATCGATTTTACATGAAGTCTAAATGTCTCATTTTATGTCACCAAATAAAGCCTTAGAAGCACTAAAGCAAACTGTTTTTAAAAAGCTAATGAACTCGCTCTAATAATATTTTGTTAGTTCATAGAAACTCCAATGTTTTAATGAAAACAGATACTCTATAGATACTATAGATCAGGAGGGCTGCAACCTTTCATGTCCAAAGAGCCATTTCACCCGACCAAGTCAAAGCTGTTTACAGCCAAAAAGTAGAAAAACAACCTATTTACTTTTTTATTATCTCATAGAGGAAATTAGCCAACAATGTATGTATTTTTTGCTTTTAAAATACAAACCAAAAAAAAATTAATGAAAAAACATAATTTCCAAGCTAATTAAAAGTAAAATGGCTCTAAAAACATATTTCTGCTTCTTTTAATGTCCTTCTTATAAAAAAAAACAATGAATCTTTTAAGACCGTACCAGTTTTTAGTAAATTATTTAGCTCTTTATAAACATTTTAGCCACTATTAAGAGCCACTGCAGAGGGTCCAAAGAGCCACATGAAGCTGCAGGTTGCAGACCCCCCAAAGTACAAATACTTTGTTACCTTCCTCAGTAGAACTGTTGGCTATTTATATTTTAATGGAGTCATTATTTTTTTACTTTCTACTCCTTACATTCGAAAAATAGACTCATTAGTTCTGTTTCATTTAAGCTCATTTTCATTCTGGCCTGTTGGTATTAAAAACACAAAAAAAAACATCAAAATAATCAGTTTCATTCAGACATTTTTTTCAGACATTCATTTCTTTGTGGTTGAGCTCGGTGCTGCCCCAACCTGTTGCTCACCACAAACCAAAAATTAATAGCTTTTCAAGAGGATGCAAAGTTAAAAGGGACTCTGTTACCATTAGTTATAAAACTAAGAAAATAAAGTCTAAGGAAGTTATCATCCAGAACTGTAGAAAAATGAATTAAAATTTAATAGAGTAGAGCAGTAAAGCTTCTGGCCTTAACAGTTTTTCCTGCATTACTTTTATTTTTATACTTTAAGTAATTTTAAAAATGCTACTTTAACATTTTTACTGGAGTAAAAAGCTGAAGTTGATCCTCTAACTTCTACAAAAGTGTTTTTTAAACAGCAGATTTATACTGGAGGAATAAACATGTCGGCTCTGTTTATCACTATTTCTGATGAGGTTTTTTTTCTTACACTCTTGAGTTTTTGGTTTTAAATGAGAATGAAGAATAAACCCAGCTATGGGTCCCTGCAGCGTTGGACGCATGGAAACGTGCATCAATCAGAGTCCTGCAGGCTGCAGATCTAAAGGGGTCCCTGGCATGCCAGTGCTGGAGCGCGGGGTGACCTGCCCTTCCAGCCCGGCCTGTGTCCTAACTTTAGGGTTCTGCTTGGCTGCAGGCCCGGATTAGAGCGAGCTCCGGTTACACTTGTGGCGCAAAAGGTTTGCGCTTATTTGAGGTGATGTTTTCCAGCAGCGCGGATCAATATGAGCAGAGCAGCATCTCCTCTTTAGGATGGAAATCGATCAGGTGAAGCTGAGGTGGTGTTGAGAATTTACTAATCCTGAATAAAATGTAACAGTAAAACGTTTTGATTTTACAGCCTGAATGAAATACTTTAATCTGCGTTACTGAGCAACAGGTTGAAAAAGGAAAGTTTCAGATTCCGGTTGGGGATGATAATTAAATTAAAAACCACTTACTGTAAGGATTCTCGCTGTGAACGCCTGTTATTCTGCCATTGGGTAAAACCTGTAAATGAAATCCAATCCCGACGTTGCAGTAAAGGCGCCGCAGCCGCTTAATGCCGAGCAGGTAGTCTCCGTCCCGGCTCATCTCCTCCCGCTTCTCCCCCGGGATCCGCGCCAGAGAGCGCGAGTAGAGGGCCTCCCAGCGCTCCGCCGTCCGGTTCAGACCGGGGGCGCATCCCGCGAGGGCCGTCACCAAACCCAGCACCATGAGCGTCCTCAGGGCGCACAGGGACCCCATGTCAGCTCTGACGCCTCCCGGCGCGCGCTCCCCCACTGAGGTGACGCTAAAACAGCGAGTCATTCCCAGACCTGCAGGCGCACTGACTTCACCGCCTGGGCGACATTGATCCGCAGCAGCCATGCCTCTATATTTATACCAGCACACACATTACATCACTGCTCCACACTTTTCAGAAACCCCCAAAGCCAACACCGGCTGCAGCAAACAGCGGAGCGCGTCATTGTGATCAAATAATAGAGAACTTATCTCGGAGAAAAGCTTGAAAAATATGTTAATAAAAGTTTATTATAATGGGAGAAAAAAAGTCTTTGTGTGAAGCTTTCATTATCAGCAGCAGAATATCCTAATTTATGTATTGAAGGATGTAAAATAGGAAACAGCCAAGTGAACAGACTGCGTGGTTGAGACAGGAGACAGATCTATAAATGAACAATAACAGGAAAAAACACAGGTCCAATTCAGCTAAATGAAAAAAGCGCCACTTAAGACTGGTGGAGGGGAAATCATGTCGCAGAGCAAACAATGGCAGAGCTAAATAGAGACGACTGTTACAGAAGGTTGGACCTATTCTGGGGCTGCTGGGCAACCCTCATTTCAACCAAAGCACCCCTAAAATATCACTTTTAATACTCTATGAACTTTTTACAGTTAAAAAAAGTGACATTGTAAAAACTATACACTCATTCTGTCTGGTTCATCAGAAATGATCATAAACAAACAGTAAAGCAGCCTGATGTAATACAGTAATAGAATTAGCTGTTTGGACCTGTTCACTTCCTGTTTGGATTAACTGAGTGTGCAGCTGTTCAGAGGATCTCCATCTGAAGTTAAGTTATTTTCTCTGTGATATCTCTGTATCTAAGTAACTCTAACTGACTACTTTAAAACATAGCACCTTCTGCTGCACTTTTCTACTGAGCACTTGTCAGTTACACACGGTTTTATTTCTGATAGCAAGGAGTAGCTAGCCTAGGCTAGCGCTAGCTTAGCATTGCTATGGCTTCTCTCTCTCCCTCCCTTGACTCTTTTCCAACTCTTCCTTCTTCCTCTCCTCTCTCCTGCTCTCTGTGTCAGATGTTCAGTTATTCCTCTGCCTCCTTTAGTGATAATGGGATGTGTAATAAGTGTAGTATTTTTGTAGCTTTGGAGGCGAGGGTGTCAGAGTTAGAATCCAGGCTTCAGGCTGTTGAAGTAGGCCCCCCACGTAGCTGTCCTCCAAAAGTGCCTGAGCAGCCAGGCGATTGGGTAACTGTACGCAGAAAGCGTAGTCGTGGATCTCTGCCCACTGGTCACCACCAACCCGTTCACGTTTCTAACCGGTTTTCCCCACTCAGTGACACACCCACTGAGAAGCCCACTCTGGTGATTGGCAGCTCCATAGTCAGAAACGTGGCATTAGAGACACCAGGGACCATAGTCAAATGTTTGCCGGGGGCCAGAACGGGCGACATCAAATCCTACCTGAAACTACTGGCTAAGGATAAGGTTAAATACAGTAAGATTGTTATTCACGCTGGTGGTAATGACACCCGGTTACGCCGATCGGAGGTCACTAAAATTAGTGTTGCTTCGGTGTGTAAGTTTGCCAAAAAAATGTCGGACTCCGTAATTTTCTCTGGTCCCCTCCCTGATCTGACCAGTGATGACATGTTTAGCCGCATGTCGTCATTCAACCGCTGGTTGTCTAGGTGGTGCCCTGAAAACAACGTGGGCTACATTAATAATTGGCAATCCTTTTGGGGAAAGCCTGGTCTGATTCGGAGAGACGGCATCCATCCCACTTTGGATGGTGCAGCTCTTCTTTCTAGGAATCTGGCCACATTTATTAGTCCTCCAAAACCCTGACCACCCAGGGTGCAGACCAGGAAGCAGAGTTGTAGTTTAACACACATCTCTGCAGCTTCTCTACTGTTACCCACTCTTTACTCCATCCAGACAGTGTCTTGCCCACGACCAAAATCTAATAAATTAGCAAAGATTCCCAAAGGAGTAAATCATGATAATCTAATTAAAATCAAAATAACTCAAATTGGGGAAAAAGTTAAAACAATTAAATGCGGTCTGTTTAACATAAGATCGCTTTCCTCTAAAAGTCTACTAGTTAATGACTTGATTTGTGATAATCACATTGACTTGTTTTGCCTTACAGAAACCTGGCTGCAGCAAGAGGATTATGTGAGCATAAATGAGGCAACTCCTTCAAGCTATTTAAATTTTCACATCCCCAGAAGTTCTGGGCGAGGAGGAGGAGTAGCAACAATCTTCCAGTCTGACTTACTGATTACTCCCAAAACAGTTAATACCTACAACTCTTTTGAACATTTAACCCTTAATTTCCCTGATCCAAATTTCAAGGCAAGAAAACCTCTTCTTTTTGTAACTTTGTATCGTCCACCAGGTCCTTACTCTGAATTTTTAGATGAGTTTTCAGAGTTCCTTTCTGATTTGGTATTAAATACTGACAGGGTCATCATAGTGGGAGATTTTAACATCCATGCTGACATTGAAGGCGATAGCTTAAGAGCAGCCTTTAATGCTATCTTAGACACTATTGGCTTTGTTCAAAATGTGAATAGTCCCACGCATTCTCATCTTCATACTTTGGATCTTGTGCTGACATACGGCATAGAATGTGAAGAAATAACAGTATTTCCTCACAACCCTGTCCTCTCTGACCACTTTCTAATAACCTTCAGGATTACTTTAACAGAGTTCTCCTCCCCCAAAAGAAGGTTCAATTTTAGTAGATCTTTATCAGATAGTGCAGTTATAAATTTTAAAGAATCTGCTTCACTTTCTCTCTCCTCTGTGTCACTGAGCAGTGCTGCAGAGTGCAAAAGTTTAGCTTATTCCCCTTCACAGGTTGATGATTTTGTTGATGGGGTTGCTAGTTCTCTGCGTATTGCCTTAGACAACGCAGCTCCTTTGAAAATGAAAACCGTTAAAAATAGAAAGCTTGCTCCTTGGTTTAATGCAGAGCTGCGTACTTTGAAGCAAAATGCTAGGAAACTGGAGAGAAAATATCGCTCCACAGGCCTGCGAGAGTCCTTCCTAGTCTGGAAAAATGGTTTACTGCTGTATAAGAGGACCCTTTGTAAAGCAAGAGCAGCATACTTCTCCTCATTAATAGAGGAGAATAAGAATAATCCTAGATTTCTTTTTAATACAGTTGCCAAACTCACCCAGAGCCATAGCTCTGTTGAACCGTCCATTCCACCTGCTCTTAGCAGCAATGACTTTATGGGATTCTTTATAAATAAGATTGATCTTATTAAAAATAAGATCATAAGCACTCCTCTATCCGCGATTGTACCTGAGGTAGTCATGGAATCTGAACTGGGTTTAGACTGCTTTGATCCAGTTGAACTCTCTGAATTAGCAAAATTATTGTCTTCATCTAAGCCTTCAACTTGTATGTTAGATCCAGTTCCAACCAGGTTATTTAAGGAGGTATTCCCTTTGATCTCCTCCTCCATTTTAGATGTGATTAATCTATCTCTGTTACAGGGATATGTACCTAAAGCTTTTAAGGTTGCTGTAATTAAACCTCTGCTTAAGAAACCGTCTCTTGACCCAGATGACTTGGTCAATTATAGACCTATATCCAATCTTCCTTTCTTATCCAAAATTCTTGAGAAAGTAGTTGCCAAACAAGTTTGCGATCACTTCCACCATAATGAACTTTTTGAAGAGTTTCAGTCTGGCTTTAGAGCTCATCATAGCACTGAAACAGCTCTGGTGAAAGTCACTAATGATATTCTCATGGCCTCAGATAATGGACTTGTATCTGTGCTCGTCCTGTTGGATCTTAGTGCTGCATTTGATACAGTTGACCATAATATTCTTTTAGAAAGACTTGAATATTTTGTTGGAATTAAAGGAACAGCACTAGACTGGTTTAAATCTTATCTATCTGATCGAATTCAGTTTGTTCATGTTAATGATAGATCTTCAACACGCTCAAAGGTTACCTGTGGAGTACCACAGGGATCAGTGCTAGGACCAATTCTCTTTACTTTATACATGCTCCCAATTGGTAGAATTATTAGACAGCATGGGATTAATTTCCACTGTTATGCTGATGATACCCAGCTATATCTGTCTATAAATCCAGATGAAGCTAACCCATTACATAGATTACAGGCATGTCTTGAAGACATAAAAACCTGGATGACTCTTAACTTTCTGCTTCTGAATGCAGACAAAACAGAAGTTATAGTCTTTGGACCAGAGTCTCTGAAAAAGAAACTGATTAGCCAGTCACTTCATTTGGATGGGATTAAACTGATTTCAGATAATAAAGTAAAAAATCTTGGTGTTGTTTTTGATCAGGACCTGTCATTTAAATCCCACATCAAAGAGGTTTCTAGAATTTCCTTCTTTCATCTGAGGAACATTGCAAAAATTAGAAATATCCTGTCCAGGGGTGATGCTGAGAAACTAGTCCATGCATTTGTTACTTCAAGGCTGGACTATTGTAATTCTTTACTATCAGGAAGTCCACAAACTGTAGTTAAAAGCCTTCAGCTGATCCAAAATGCTGCAGCCAGAGTTCTAATGAAAATTAAAAAGAGAGATCATATCTCGCCTATCCTGGCTTCTCTTCATTGGCTTCCTGTTAAATCAAGAATAGAATTTAAAATCCTCCTTCTCACATATAAAGCCTTAAATGGCCAAGCTCCATCTTATATCAGAGATCTGATTGTTCCTTATGTTCCTAACAGAGCACTTCGCTCTCAATCTGCAAGTTTACTAGTGGTTCCTAGAATTTCTAAAAGTAGAATGGGAGGCAGATCTTTTAGTTATCAGGCTCCTCTCCTGTGGAACCAACTACCAGTTTTAGTCCGTGAGGCAGACACCCTGTCTACTTTTAAGGCTAGGCTTAAAACTTTCCTTTTTGATAAAGCTTATAGTTAGAGTGGCTCAGGTTATCCTGAGCTATCTCTATAGTTATGCTGCTATAGGCTTAGACTTTTGGAGGACATAGGGACCCCCATTTCATCATTCTGCTTCATTCTCTCTCTGTTCTCCTATTCTGCAGAATCTGTTAGTTCAATCTCTAACCTTCTGCTCTCTCTGCTTTTCCTCAGAGTAGCTTTGCCTCGTC